AAGGTGGTGGAGAGAGGTCAGAGGAGTGATGTGAGAACAGTCAAAAGAGAGCTGCTTTTTTATGGGCCGTTCCAAAATTGGATCCCACGCCTACCCATATAATAATTAGTGGAATGAAATGACATATATACCCCCTAAGGAGACTCAATTACTTATTTGCCCTCGTTTTTTCTATTTTTATTTTTAGTGTATTTCCTTTATTTAATGCAGAGGAGTTTAAAATTGTTTTATTTTTATGTAATAATTAGAATCAAGTGTTATTATAGAGTTGAATTTCTCAATTTTGGATGATTTACCGAAAAATATTGGGTTTTAGATTTTCATCATCGATCATTTCTTTTTTTTTCAAATAATACTTTTTTAAAAAAATATTTATCTTATCTCTCAAAGGTGATGGATCCAAGTTCTATTTGTGTGGTTTATTATTATTTTCTTAAAATAAACTAAAATGAAGAAAAATGGGATCAAACACTTTTTAAGAAATAAAATAAGTATTTAATTTTTTTTTTTTTTCACCCATATAGTTTTACGTATGTTAGACTCCTCAGAGTTATTGTAATATTGCGTAAATGAGAATCTATTAAAGTATTTTATAGTTAGTGTAGTATTGTTCAAACGGTAGATGTCAAATTTAAGTAAACATATGAATATGTTATTTTAAGAGAGTTTACATAATACACTCATCAGACCCATATAAGCCAATCATACGCATTGTCTATTTCCGATGTGAGACTAATGGGATGTTACAATATCCCCTACTAAATTAGCTTTCGTCGTACTCGAGCCCTTTCACCTTACCAAATACTATTATTTAATATCATATAATTATATGATAATTATTTAATATCATATTATTTTTTTTATGAAACAACAAAAACAATGAGAGGTATAAGACCGATTAAACTCATGAAAGCCAAAGAATTCAATTTGGAACTCAAATACCCACCATGTTCAAGTGAATCATCCAATTGTTTCAAGTGAAAATATAATGAATTGCTCTCTCTCTCTCTCTCTCTAGCTCTCTCTCTCCTTAGGTTGAATTAATCAAGTGAATTTATTTCTGAAAAGAAGAAAATGCCTGTGTTCCATCACCCTAATGGAAGTTTGGATTGGATTCGAATAAAATAAATAATATTCAATTCGAACGTCGATTTTTAGATAATTAAATGGTGATTCAAACATAGTGAAACTCGTAAGTATTATTTGTCAATGATAATAATAGCAAATTAGACTTCTTCACATATATCTTCGTTTTTCCATTGTTTTCTCTCTCTCTCTCTCTCTCTCTCTCTCTATTTTTTGGGTTTAAATCATATAATATATTTTTAGAATCAATAATAAAACCATAACAAATATATTTTTTAGCCAAACTAAACAGCATCATTTTATACACCACAAAAAAATATCAATATCATGAGACTCATAAAAGAAAAGAAAAGAAAAGAAAAGCTTGACTTGGGAAGGAATCGAATGGGTTGTTGAAGATGGTGACGCCTCGCAAAAGAAGACTTGTCCTCCCAAGGCTTTTTGTTTGGGTTTGCGTAAGAGAGATAGATAGCGGCGATGCATCTGCAAGCGTGGCAACATATGGAAGAGATGTTCCCAACTCTTTCGCACGAAGCCATCGTTTGATCCAAATTGAAACGTATGAGGAGGGACCGAGTTAAACGTGGTTTGACCGATGTCAACGTCTTCCTTTGATCATGATCCGAGGAAGGTTGGTGAAATAGTAGCAGCAGCGCATGGAGACAGTGCAAGAAATCAACGTCTTCCTTTGATCATGATATGAGAAAGGGTCGGTCGGACATGGGTTCGACGTGGCGGCTGATCCTCGAGGGATGAGACAGTGCTTCTGTGTGGTCGTCATCCCGGGACGATGTCAGATGGTGCCGTCCCGAACTTTCTAGACGGGACATGCCAAACAGTATCTCGGTACGGATTCTGACTTAGCGCGTGGGGGTGCTCCCCTTGCTAACTTGACTGTAGCACGACGTAATATCGATTGTGACGTGTCTTGGACCCAAAATATACCTTATCAAGAAGAAGACACGAATGACGAGAAGAAGTGCGGAAGGAGTGGGGAGGAGGAAATATGAAAAAAAAGGAAACACGCTCTTAATTTTTCTGAGGATTACATAATAGTTTGCTATTCAAATTTTTTTCTTTTTATTTTTCTTTTTTTCGAGGAGAAGGCAATTTATTAAACCTTCTACGGTCAAAACATGAACATCCGATTTGGACAGTCTATTGCCACGATTTATACTAATATTTTCTTGAAACAAGACAATTTTTTGGTATGAACTAAACATTAACATGAAGTTGCATAAATCTATCTCTATCAGTCTTTTCTTTATTTTTTATCATATTTTTATAATATTGATATGAGAAATATTATCGATCATTCATCGTCCCATATGTAACTATAGACATAACAATTTAGTCAACGCAGAAAACAAAACCTATCTCTTTTATCCACCCACATGAATGTAAGTGGACGATTACAAGTTGTCTCACTTCATTATCTACGTAGACAATAATCCAAGGTAATTATAGATTATCCCTTGAGAAATATTATATAGCATATCCCCTCACATTTAATCTGGTATAAAAAGTTATTTTTGACACGATAATTGAGGTTGAATATCTTTTATTATTCTCATCCATGATTTCAGAGTAACTTACTATTGGAGCGATGGTCTTTACACAAGTCGCCCTTTGAGTCAAAAGTTCTTTAAACTCAAACCACGAGGAGCTCAAGAGATATCTCGACAATACCCTCATTCGTCCTGTGTATACGGATTCAAATCATGTCGGATTAACTATAATGCCACTGATTCTTCCTCTAATAAATATCAATTTATAATTAATATTTAATATATCATATAATTATTTTAAATAAAAATTAAATAATCCTTATGAATTAATTAATTGACCCTTGACACCAATAGTTCATCCAATTTGGTCCAATTATATGTACAATTAGAAAATTATGAATTTCACATGACTTGATCGAACCCCACCCAATTAAACAAATATGATATGGCCCTAAATTAGATCAAAAACCTCCAAAGTCACATCAATTTGGCGATCCCCAACTACTCAATCCCCAAGTAGGCAACCAACTACCGCACTTCAAAAAGTTCTTAGTCACATATCTAATTAGTGGCTCGTTTCTCCTAATTGCACTCTTTTTTCTGAAAGGATAGACAGAGAATGTGGGATATGATCCCATGATCTTACGATGTTTCATTAAAATCTATGCTAATTTAATTAATTAAATGAGATTTGGGAATATTAACTTTTGATAAGTGAATATGGTACATTCAATATTTTAGAATTATATATTAGAGATGATAAATTCTTTGAATCTAATTTATAATTTTAGCATGATGTTAGAGCAGGTGATTAGTCTAAAATTTATCGATATCATTCTCCAAAAATTATCAATATGATTGTATCATTATTTTGGGATTACAGGCAAAAGCAAAACAGATCTAACATGTGTAATGCATGCTAGTGAATGACCCAAGAGGGTGCGGACATCACAGATGGTGGCTTGGAAGAGTGGACGTGTATGTATACGCATTGTGATGTCAACAGGTTGAAAACCATAAGTCTCACACACACACACACCTAACCTTCACCTACCCCCGCCATGGTGAATCCGGAACAAACGGCCCCACCAAGTAGTGGCTCACCACCATCTTCTTGCGGGGAGTCGGCTCATTGGATGTCCTGTTGACCTTTTTTCAAGCATTATTTGTTGGAATCTGACATTTAAATATATATATATATATATATATATATATATATATTTCACAAATGATCAAATTTAATTGGATTGGATATACGTGGATTCTTGAAAACTAATACTAAAATGCTTCAATTTTTACTTTAACCAATCCGACATATTCAATTTCGAACCAAAGATATTTTATTTTTAATTTTTTAAATGATGTTCTTATTTCTTTTAATCATGTAAGTCTCGTCATCGCCTTAAGTTTTCGTGCTCGAGCCGTCTCGTAGTCATCAACCCTGACGTTTTCGCCCTTTTGTTCATTATCTTTTACTCTTTGTTACTTTTGCTCAGACATTTTTTTTCATTATCACTATTTGATTAGGAAAGTAAAACAATTTTAAAAGGAGGTACAGGCGATGCATAGTATAGTGGGACATGTCGAGGAGGAGAGAAAGAAAGCCCTATGTGACGGAAGCGATGGTACAAGACAAAAGTAGCGGGTTGAAGTATTGGAGAGTGAGGGGTGATAACGGCATGACGAAAATAAAGGAATGAGAACGAGGACGATGATGATGACGGGTCTTATGGGGTTTATGACGAGATCTTCGTGGGTGAGGCCTCTACGGGCAACGCAAGATGACGAGGCGGAGCAAGAAGTTATGATGAGGGACTTTTATGATATCAAAGAAAATAAGAGGTATCATTAAAATAAATAAAAATTGGGGTACTGAAAAACCAAAAAAAGAGTTTTTTTTTTTCCGGAAAATCGCCCCAAAAAAATCTCCTTATTAAAAAATTGTTGTGACGGACCCAGTGGGGCCCTGCGCGGTTGGTCACCGAATCCGTGGGCCCCAGCTGCGGGGCTCTGTTCCTTGCCGACTCCAACCAAACTCAACTGCAGGATCCGAACTGATCCGACGGCTGCGATGGCGCGGTGGAAAAAGGTTCCTCCAGCCATCAGATCTGGATCTGAGAAACTCCTGTTACCCGTTTTCGGTTTCCTGGCCTCACCTGCCTGTCTTGTGATTGCCAGAAGCAGAGTGGATCTTATGGGGCCCGCACGTGAGTCCACGTTGTTGCCAATTACATTTTGTGTAAGTGAGAGGAGTCGGTCTTACAAAGTTTAGGAAAAGATACGTATAATCACAGACTCCAGCAGCGCCCTACCGGTTTGATAGCGGGCCCCACGATCATAACGCGATTCAACCACCGGGTACAAACCAGAGGGGGATACTACAGAGTTTGCAAAGAAGTCTTTATTCGTCTATAAATAGCGGGGTCGATCGGAGAGGAAGAGGCCGTGAAAGGGGTTGCTCGAGGGACTACAGCTTGCAATCCGCGTCCAAAGGTGAGGACTTCTGCTTCTCCTCCTAGTCTGTTTCGGTCGCCTTTAGATCTCCAGCTGCTTTGTTCTTTTCTTCGTTAGATCGTTTAGTTTCGATGCTCTTCTCTTGTTTCTCGTGGTGTTGTTCTTTGGATCTTTGATCTGGAGAGGGATGGCTGGCTCCTCTTGATAAGCGCAGATTTGCTGTCTCTAGTTGTTCTTTCGGGTTTTAGATCTCTTCTTTTTTTGAGAAGAATCCACCACGTCCGCTCTGTTTTAGGTTTCGTTGAGCATTGCGGCAGAGATCTGCTTGGAAGCATGGAGATGCTATGGTTTTGATTTGCTTTTAGCTGGATCTACTCGGGACCCTGGGATTCTTGAGTTTCTAATTCATTTTCATGCGTCGAATCCCAACTTGGTCGTTCTCGTTGCAATAGTGGCTTACACTAAGATCAGATCTAACTTTCTTGCTTGATTTAGAGGATTTATTGATGAAATAGTGGCTTACACTAAGATCAGATCCAACTTTCTTGCTCGATTTAGAGGATTTCTTGATGAAATCATAAGATTTACTTTAAGATCGATGCGATGCACGATGGCAATATACAATAGCATGCCATTAAATTACTTCGTAGATCATTATCATGTGATTTGATACTATCCTCACTATTTTCCAGATTGAACGAGATGGCCAGCAACGATACCTTCCTTTTCACCTCTGAATCCGTGAACGAGGGGCACCCTGACAAGCTCTGCGACCAGATCTCCGATGCTATTCTTGATGCCTGCCTCGCGCAAGACGCTGACAGCAAGGTTGCGTGTGAGACCTGCACCAAGACCAACATGGTCATGGTGTTTGGCGAGATCACGACCAAGGGCAACATCGACTATGAAAAGATCGTTCGCGAAACGTGCCGCTCGATCGGATTCGTGTCCGATGATGTTGGCCTGGACGCCGATCACTGCAAGGTGCTCGTCAACATCGAGCAGCAGTCTCCTGACATCGCGCAGGGCGTCCATGGGCATTTCACCAAACGCCCTGAGGAGATCGGTGCCGGTGACCAGGGCCACATGTTCGGGTACGCAACCGACGAGACCCCCGAGTTTATGCCCCTCAGCCACGTCCTTGCCACCAAGCTCGGTGCCCGCCTCACGGAGGTCCGCAAGAACGGCACCTGCCCTTGGCTGAGGCCCGACGGTAAGACCCAGGTCACGGTGGAGTACCAGAATGACCACGGCGCCATGGTGCCCATCCGCGTCCACACCGTGCTGATCTCCACCCAGCACGACGAGACCGTCACCAACGACGAGATTGCTGCCGACCTCAAGGAACATGTCATCAAGCCTGTCATCCCCGAAAAGTACCTGGACGAGAAGACCATCTTCCACCTTAACCCGTCCGGGCGCTTCGTCATCGGCGGTCCCCACGGAGATGCTGGGCTCACCGGCCGCAAGATCATCATCGACACGTACGGTGGCTGGGGAGCTCACGGTGGTGGCGCCTTCTCAGGCAAAGATCCCACCAAGGTCGACCGCAGCGGCGCCTATATAGTCCGACAGGCGGCGAAGAGCATTGTCGCCAGTGGCCTCGCTCGCCGCTGCATTGTGCAGGTGTCGTACGCAATCGGTGTGCCTGAGCCTCTGTCGGTGTTCGTGGACACCTACGGCACTGGCAATATCCCGGACAAGGAGATCCTGAAGATTGTGAAGGAGAACTTTGACTTCAGGCCGGGGATGATCACCATCAACCTCGACTTGAAGAGGGGAGGCAATGGCAGGTACCTCAAGACTGCAGCTTACGGACACTTTGGAAGGGACGACCCCGACTTCACCTGGGAGGTGGTCAAGCCTCTTAAATGGGAGAAGCCTGCTGCCTAAAAACCTACCATGCATGTCTTTACATCTACATCGTTCTTATTAGCTGTTGTAGAACTCCCAATCTTTTTGGTAGTTCTGATTCCAATTGTTCCATGTTATTTTGCCTGTCTCCTGTTCTTGATGTGCTCTTGTCGTTGGTTTGATGAAAGAAGAGGAAGTGTGCGTTACTCTTTCTAGAGGTGTTGGGGGCATTGATATTGTACTCTATTAAGTTGAGAAATGATGCTTATGGATCTTGCAGTTTATCTCAATGCATTATTACCAGGATATAAGCATTCTTTTTTCTCTTCTATGCTCATAAAATTTTGCTAATTCCTGTGCCAATTATGAGTTTAAATCAAGAGAAAAAGAAGACTAAACGAACTGAATAATCAATTCAAATTAATTCTGAAACTATTTATTACGTACCAGTCAAATACATCTTCCCAATGTTCATCACATTAGCTTTCAACAAGCTGTAATCATTCACGAAGTAATCTACTGAAGTATTAAATATGAGCAACATCTACTTGTTTATTATCTCTCAATTGTCTCATTGCCTCGACCAGTCGCCCAAAGCACATCAGAGATTTAGAATAGGATCTGATAAACAGAAATATCATCATCCATTTGCATCAGAACTAAGAGACGATAGAAAAATAATAATGTGACCAATACTTCAGTATTATATGGCCGACATCTTAGTATCAAATAACTAATATCTCAATGTTATGTTCACTTCCATCATGTGTGGCTGACATGACGACACTCTCCAAATGTTACTGACCCGTTACATATTCTCTAGATTCGATTTAACACAATTTCACCTGGGATGGGGAATACGTGAAACAATCCCCGACATCAATACACGTCTATCAGTATAATGATCCTAAGTCACACTACAAAAGGTTTCTCAAGTGCGAGATTGTCTCATTCAATTAGTGCCTTCGGCTTTACCATTCTCGGCTCCTCATCGACACCTAACTCCCAAACTAACTCAAGCATCAAAGAAATTTTACCTAATACACCCCCGACGTAGTTTTGTAGGATTCGACATCTCCTGAATTTGGTTGTTCCTGATACCAACAAGAGATAGACATGAAATGAGATCTCGATTGGCTCCGAGTCATATCCAACTTGGGCAATTGAATTTCAACTCATCATTAATTGATTCTAAGAAAGATATGCACAAATTTCTTTGCCAGATATGCTCAAAATTACCAGAAAGGAATGTGGATTGACACCTACAGCTTACATCCCCTCGTATTCCGACTGAGCTCCTCCAATTGCTCAGACAGTCTATTAGGATCTTCAACCTTATCCACGTTTTGAAATTCATTTATGCAAATATACATAGGAAAGATAACAGTCAGTTCTCAACAAAAAATAAGCACAAAATAATTTATTATGCTTAATTACCTAAAAAAAATGCTTAGATGAGGATTGGAAGTGACTCAGACAGGTAGATTATTTGCTCTGATGATAGGCCTCTCCAGACTCAGATAACTAAACTAATCTTTTGACACATGCAAAGAACGAGCTTCTACATCTTTGCGTTGAATAACATTTCTTTGCTTTCCAGTGTAGACGGGTGAGAAAATTAGAATTTTAAACTGAAGACCGATTTAAGTTTTATTTTCTATAATTATTTTATATTTTTATTAATATAAATGGATGGATGTTAATATTATTTATTTTAGATTTTGCATTGGTCAAACAGGTTCATTGAATGAGTTCTTTTTTCTTTAAGCACAAAAGAAACTCTATTACACCACCACATTCCAGAAAAACTGGTTCATGAGTTTTAAAAAAGGGAAAGAAGGAAACAAAAAAAAGAAAGGAGTGATTAAGGGTACTTTTGTCGTTTTGAATGTATGAACATTCTATTGGAAAAAATAATAATATTGGTATGATATGCAGGAAAAAGATAAAAACAAGAATTCAAAAAAGAAAAGATCAAGTTGTGACAGGCACCTCATGATCCGCTAATTAAAGGCTGGTTGCGTTGTATTAGATCATCCTCCTTTCCATGCTTATCTAACTCAGACCAACCTTCTTTTCTGCCTTTTCTCCAATTCGTTCCACAATATCTAGTTGTCCACACTGCATGTGTCCTATCAGAGCATGCCACTGAAAGAAGAAGAAGAAGAAGGCACAAGTAGAATAAACCTCTCATCCTTCACTAAATTCTGTAGAATCCTAGCAAACTGCTCCTCCCCGATTCCAGAAGTTGATGCTAGATACAAGTTGGAATTTAGCAGTCAGTGGCCATATAGCAAAGAACAGAGAAGAGAGGTAGAACCTGGATATGCCAAGTAAATGGAAGGCTTGCATTGAACATATGTAAAGGTTCCTCCATGACCCTGCAAGTCAAGTCAACTTTCTATATTTATTTTTATTCAAATCGCATGGACAAATCGACTCTGTAGCAGTGAATTCCTTGAGGGTATTCTTTCCCACACTTGGCTTCAGTCTGTATGAGTGAACGCTTGGATCTGTTTAGGAAAGCACAAAAGCAGATCCACTGCTTTATTCAATGTATAAAAGTAATATACGCTTTCTTACCATATCCCACTGGAATAATTGCAAGTGTCATCCCCCATACCCAACAATCTTGATTCCTTAATTAGTATAAATCGATCCTCATGAGAAATCACTCTAATCATCCATACTGGCGTACTCTTTGTTTCTTCAATTAGGGTCTTCCTGTGAAGGTGGTATTGTTGATGCTTCTCTCTAACTTCTCTCTTTTTCTTCTCTCATTTTTGTTTCAGCTTTTCATGTTGCATTTGATCTGTTGATCTCATTCCCCTATCTTGAGTGAAGCATGATGGTCTTTCTGATTCTTCAGGGGCTCTCTAATGATTATTGTGCTTATGTTTCAGTCTTTGAGGGAACAAAATTTGAGAATGGAAGCTGCTGTAAGTGAATCCAAGTACGAGTGTCTGCTCTTTGGTGAGTTCAGACTTCAGACACAGTTATATTTGATCTGATCTTTAATGAAGCCTTACATACCTATTCACTAATTTTCAGATTTGGATGATACCTTATATCCTTTTAGTTCAGGCATCTGTGTCGCTTGTGGCAAGAACATTGAAGGTAAAATTTAGCTGCAGCAGCATTACATCTGATTCCATAAATCCAGTCTCTTCTGATTACTTCCATTTATCTGAAATGAATTATCCTGGTCTTTCGAGATAAATATATAGCCAGGCAATGAGTTATCACACTGATCTCAGGGTTGAATTGTGTTGAACCACAGATTACATGCTGCACCATCTCCAAATAGAAGAAAGCCAAATCCCAGAAATGTCCCTGGAATTGTACAAAGAGTATGGGACAACAATAGCTGGTCTTAAGGTGTGAACTTCTACTTGATCAAGAAGCATGTCAAATTAGCCGTGATCCACTGAAACTTCTTTGTTCCTCTTTTTGTTGACAGGCACTGGGTTACAAATTCGACAACGATGAGTTCCATGCATATGTTCATGGAAAATTGCCATACCATACACTGAAACCTGATCCTTTGTTGAGGAATCTGCTTCTTTCAATGCCACAGAGAAAGATGGTAAGCGAGAACTGCGAACTCGAACAAGAATTCTGGTAATTTACTCCTCTTTGATGTGATTAACTGCCATCTTTTTCTCAGATCTTCACAAATGCAGACAAAGCTCATGCTGCAAGAGTTCTAAGCAGGCTGGGCCTGGAAAACTGCTTTGAAGGAATCATATGCTTCGAGACACTGAATCCAACTGAAAAGGTCACTACTACTCTCAGAGACAATGTATCAAACACTGATAGGGCCAATTGCGAGGGAAGAATACTCTGCAAGCCATCTTTGGAAGCCATCGAAACCGCCATGAGGATCGCAAACATCGATCCCAAGAAAACAGTAGGCCACAATTTACAGATCACTTCCCATATCCATTCACAATCGGACATAAACTGATTGATAGTCTCCGGCATGCAGATATTCTTTGACGACAGTGCAAAAAACATTGCAGCAGGAAAGGCAGCAGGTCTTCATACTGTCCTTGTAAGTCAATACTCCCCCCTCTTTCTCCAGAGTTTTTAAGGATCATGCAGCTTCTTCTCCTAAAGCAAACAAAGCAAGCATATATCTAAAGATCCACAGGATTCACAAGAATCATGTCACTGTTGGGCGATTGTGCAGGTTGGGAGGTCAGTGCCGGTACCAGGGGCTGATCTTGCACTGGAGAGCATTTACAACATAAAAGAAGCATTGCCTGAGATATGGCAGGATGGAAAGCAGACGAAACCAGTTATTGCAGCCACCGCAGTGGAAGAAACCACAGTCCTTGCATGAGCATCATCATTGGAGGAATCAACGGACAGCCATTCAACATATATGACAAGTATGGATATATAACATTGTACTTGGGTTATAAGCATTGTGGATGCTTTATATGCTCTTGGTCCATTTTGGGAGACCAGAGTGTAAACTTCTCTTACTTTTCTTAAGGCTCTCATGAACAATCTTATCCTGGTGTCAAAACCCACCCTCACTACTGATTAAGATTATTGATAACTAATTTTAGATGATTCTTCAGAAACCATCCATGTTGTACAACAAATAAAGATTTTGATTGGACGACCAATGATATTAAAAATTAAAATGTTTGGCAAGCACAATGTATATTAAGTTCTAATCTCTCCTCTCCCATACAAGTTGGACTCAGCTTGATATATAAAATTTAATGCTAGGAAGATCTTACTTAAATATTAATTAAAAACCTAATGAAGAGAGAGAGAGGTAAATACAAACTCACAAACTACTCTAATGAATAGAAAAAGGCAAAAACAAGATTTAAACTCAAAAGCTACTTAGTATTATTATGATGGGCATCTTAATTGGATGTTGTAAATATTACATGTTATAAAAATTTAAATTGTTAGGTAAGGATAGGCTCTTACATTAGTAAATTATAGATAATAATATTCTTTTAGAAAAAAATTATAATCATAATGCATGCATTTATACCATAATTGCTTCATAGATATCCGAATACATAATCGAATTTGGATTTGGATTCTCAAACAGGTTTCTTACATGTTCTCCATGCAGTTCATGTAGTAATGCTTGCAAAAACCAAAACAATTAATCAACCAAAATGATAGCAACCAATCACATTGCCCTACCTGCAAGTCTCTTCATTAACTTGCATTGATGCCTATGAGACTCGGATGGTCAAAAAATATTAAGGCCTTATTGGCTAATATTGTTATGATAGAAGATTAATGCATGATTCAAGGGACACACAAGTGAAACAATTAATCAAGTTGTAAATGTACATTAATCATAAAAAAATTATTTATTTTTTACAAAAGGTAAATGGATTCGAGCACCTTATAATATAATTCTTCACTAAAGCAATCCTTAGTGGATCTTCAAAATTATCTAACCGTGGGTTGATCTACTTTAGATGGAACAACATATACACCATAAACTTAAAGAAAAAGAGAAGAACATCATCATATAAAGGTTTCATCACTCGATGCTTTTCTATATGCAATAGCAACAAGAAATTGAGTTGGGAGATGCAACCTACTAAGCTTTTCTACACAGATGAGTAGCAAATAGTCTTAATTGTTTCAGATGAATTACTGAAATCATCAAGAGACATCCTGTCAGGGTGATTCATAGAAAACAGCAGAGCATTAATCAATGACAGATGAAATGGTCCCAATCCAATGTACACAATAGTAGATAACATTAAACCGTAAAAGAAAAAAAATCTAAATGCCCGAAAAATCACATGCTCAAGAAGTTGCATTATGTTATCATATCATGTAGCAGCTCTGATATTGCCTACAATAAACGAAGAACTTCCATGAACTGATTAACCAAGACAGGAAATATCAGAGTAATGACAAAGAACACATCCAATTTTACTATTGAAGAAACAAACCTGGAGGCAATAATCTAACTCTATGGTCAATAGCTACGGTTTCTTCTTTTCTTAATGGATGCCGAAGAAAGAACCAACATTTCTGGAGGTCTAACAGATCGTCACTCTTATTGGCAGAATTCTTAGAACATACATGTTGCCCGGTCGATGCAAGCAAAGAATCAGGAGAGCATGCATCATAAGCAAATAAATATTCTCAAAAAGGAAACAGAAACTCTCACTTAACAAGAATAGAAACAAAATTTTGGATAGGTGATGGCACGATGCATCATAACATATTCTATTAAGTAGATTCCTAAAACAATGATCTAAGCTTATTGCAATTATGTTCTGGCACCGGAAGGAATATAACAATGAACAATGATGTGCCTTTTTCATCTGTTCATACGTGCTCTTTCAACTTTAGAAGAACCTAGAAAAAGCTATCTTTCGTCTTGAATTCATTTAAACCTATTGCTCATGTCAGGCCTCCGAGCATCGAGTCTGCTACTCCATTATGGTTCTTACCTATAACATATTATGTTATTGATGACTATATGTTGCTGAGTCATTCATATTGCTAACGTAGAAGTATTTAATAAAATAATTAACAAGAACAGATAATTGTTATGCCATTGAACATTATACAAAGTCCAATACCAGATTTCTATATATCAAGTACACGCAAAGAAAATCGTACAAATCTAGAGATAACATGGAACATGATCCAGCTAGCATCAACCGTTTCCACAAATACAACACAGACATAGAAACTTGAAATTTTAAACAGGTCAACTATCATCGAGCAGCTTCAAGGCACCAAGCTTGGTGACTGGCCATACCTTGTCCCACATGAAGTGCTTACACATTTTCCAGGGCAAGGTCGCGCCAAACATCTCTTTCAACTGGTTGACTTTCCTGATCTGGATGGTTAGAAACAAAATAAATAAATAACTAGCTATTGCGAGTAGGTCACTTTGACATTTAACCAATATAAGAAAACAATCAATCTCCAATAGCACAAAATTAAGAAAAAAAATTATTATGTTCATGCTCACCTCACCAGGCAGAATAGAATATTCTAGCATATTGGATGAAATTGGCTCTCGATGTAATTCAAGCACCAAAGTAATCTAACTGTTCAAATAATTCTTAAGGAACTTATGTACACCTCAAATCATGATTTTTTTATCGCAACTTTAAAAACGGGTGTCTCCTCTTGGAAATTTGCTGTACACCCTGAATCATCCAAGAAATCAGGTTGTACTATAATATTCTTTGGGTGTAACAAATCATGATTTGGGGTGTACACCCCATATTATAGTACCGGAGATTTGCATCATCAATAGCCAATGTCATGCAACATTGCATACACACCTTGCATGTTAACAATATTTTCTTCAATCTCCTTTTGTCATTCAAAATATAGATTCAATATAGCCGAAGATTTTACATTCTAGAACTTATTCACAATAATTCTAATTCTTTTCTTGTTGGTTCATAATTGTAACACATATTCAAACTTAATTTTGATTTAAAATCATTATTATTTTTGTACATCTATGCAGTTTTAATAAAAATAGTTGTTCTAGAAGGTGGTCACTATACTATAGTTCTTTAAAG